GTTTGTAAAGGACCAACGGCCTTATACAACTTAATTCAGATTTTAAAAAGGTGCTTGTCTGAGTCTCATCATGTCCTATACCTGTGTCAGACCGCCGTTCGAACGCCCAGGTGCCAACTCAACGCGACCGCTTGCTTTGCAGGGCGACTTGGCTTCCTTCTATCGGTGACTGACTGGTCGCTCCTGGACGCCCTGCCGCAAATTCCAAATGCCCACGGATTCCACCGCGCCCGTCAGGGCAAAACCTGAAGAACTCCCTGGGAAAAAGTTTAAAACAACAGAGCAGGACGCTGTGAGAGTGCACTTTTTGACATTTATGTAACGTCTGTTTGCTGGTCTTACTACTTTGCCACTATACATCTTGACATCTACCTCACTCAATCGCTATCTATCCAATATATTTGAGTCAAACATCTAAAGAAATAACTCGTGGTGGCCTTGGGGTCTAGTTTCTTTTTTTTTAACAAAAAATATTTCTTGTTCTTAATGTATATATATATATTTATTTAATTGAATTAACTATATATATATATAATTAATGTAGTTTTATGTGTGTGTGTGTTTTTTTTGTTGCAATTTGTTGATCTTCATTATAATGATGTAGCCATTGCAGATGTGCCAAGCAGAGATTGTTAGTATTCAATAAATATGATGAAACAACACACTCTGAGGGTGTCCCCTTCTGAAAAAGAAAAAAACACCGATATTGAAAGAACAATCACGGGATATTTCCAGGAACAACCACTCTCAAGTGCCACGTTGGAACAAACAATGTGCTGATTGGGACGGGGTTTCCAGGTCCGTCTCTGGAGACCGCGCCCCTCTCGACACTGAGAACCACTGGGAGACGCGTCTCTCAGTGTAACCAGGCGTGGCCAAAGAGCGTGTGTTGAAACGTGATGGCATGGAGCAGTTCTGGCACCGGTGAAAGAAATAAGCCAAAACCCTGAGAGCCTCGCAAGAAAATCCCGAGTGGAGGGCCTGTTGATTCTTGATCGCTTCAAAAGCCACCGGAGAACCCTGAGTCCCTGAGTTACATTCCACTCGCCAGGTCAGGTTCTCCCAGATTAATGCTAAATATGGCAAACCAAAGAGGTTGGTAGGAGACCCCTGTTGGTTCTACATCCCTGTCACCGTGAATCCACTATATCCTATAGAGCCCCACAAAAACCGATGCCCGGGTCGCAGCCGCACTGTGCGCGTTTCATCGTGTTTAACCGTTAACACATTGGCGCTCCAAGTGGCGCCCGGTCTCGTCGAAGGCCACGTTGCACTCGCGGGAGGTGACCACGCCGACGGCCTTGTCATGCTCGAAGCGCAAGTACGCCTGGATCGGAAACATCGGATCGTCGCTCTTCGGATCGCCCCCGTCCTGTCAGTCAGGCTGCAGGCAAAACACGGCCCGGATTGTGTGGGTGTTCACTACAACATGAACCAAGCGATGTAATTAGTGTTGACACTCTCAAAGAATGGTGTTAGCACCTTCAGCTGCCCAGTTTCAACCATGCCGCAATGTGGCAGTTCGCAGTACATAAGACATTCCATTGTTTCACTTCTGCAGTCTGTGTCCAAGTGGTGTAGTTCTTCCCGGGGTGCAAAGTTGCACAGCATGATCCCACCAAAAAGGGACTGGCGTGATCCCACCTGCGGTTGAGGAATACGTCATACGTCTTAGCTCATTGTGGTCTCCCACAGCCAGGCCAGGACGAGCCAGGCCAGTGGAGCATCTACCAGCGGATCAACACCAGGAGACCGACCGGTTTTTCCCTACCGACCGTGGTCCGGCCCGACCCATGGTGGACTGGTCAGGCTCCAGGTTGAACAACCCATCCCCAACTGATTGAACCCCAAACTGACTGCTCATCACAGCACCAAGCTCGTCTAAGCTCGTCCAAGCTCCGCTGGGCACCCGGCTTTCACCATCCGATCCTGGGCCGCATGGTAGATGAGTGACGAAATCTTATCTCGTTTAAGAATGGGTCGGCCCCGATCAGCATATCAAAGTGCATCAGTCGATTTTTATCAGCCCCCATTGGAAGTCTGGCCGCAGATTTTGCAGCAGTCGAGAAGAACCATATAAACCCCATATCCAATAGACTCACAACAAGATCCACCCAAACAAGCGTCATCACATGGCCTTTGGTGCTGCGAGAACAAAGAAACAACGCCGCAGCTGCGGCAAGGCTAGAGTCCCTCCAGGTTTGTTGGGGACCGACTAAGTGACTCTAACCAAAAGACCTCATTTTACTGGTGTTGATCATATACAACGGCCAGGAGACTGGACCTGGGTCAGACTGCACCTTTAGGGAATCATGTAGACTCTTGATGTCAAAATACCTTCGCTACGATGAGGAGATCCAAATGGGGGCAGTTTTATTGATCAAGAGTCTACATGCATTAAAGTGATTTGAGAGTCAGATTCTACTTGGTGCACTGCAGCACCTGACACCCTCAGGTGCTTCACCTTGCAGGAGAATCACGGTTTGTCCATCTGCAGCCGCCGAACCAACAGGCTGGTCTTTAGGGGGAACAAGAACGTTTGCAAGAGTGAACTCCTAGAAGTCCAAGACTACTTTTAAAAAGGTCTTTAGGTGACCCGACTAGGAGATTCCTTTAGCTCGGTGGCGCCAAAAATAGTCTCTGGACTTCCAGGGATATAAATATATTAATATACGGTAACTTGTAGTACAGCAAAGATGGTGGTCCCCCTAAATTACGAATGGTTAAGAGGATGCCGATAGTACAGCCTATGGCTGCAGGTTGATTGCAGCTGTAGCGGCAATGGACATTCATTCCATCACATGCTAATATCAGTGGTAGTATATAGACCAGCATTGCCTGAAAACCTGGAAGGCAACATTTTGAACCTGTGCTTGGTCGACTTGCAAAAGGATCAAAAGGGATCTTGGCCCTTGGCAAAACGGTCTCTCTTCAAAAGTGTGTAAGCATTGCCGCACCCCACTTGCAGTGGCCAAACATGTGTTGTTCATGGTTTCGGTGCCAGGTGGGCTGGTTACTGGTAGGTCACCAGCAAATTTCAATAAACTGAAGAATCCAACGATGCAGCACACAACAAAACTCGGCTCCCCAAAACCTCAGTCTGAGTCTGAGCTCCCAAACAGGACACCGCGCTGGCGCCACACATATGGCCGGGCTGATGTCTGGCTGTCTGACATTCAGCTGGACCGAGCAGAAACTCTGCGAAGCTCAGTCTGCATGGTTTTGCTCACATTGTCACAGTTTGTTCGTCTTTGGGGTGTTCGGATTTCTCTGAGCCTTGATTCCCTGTACTGCAAAACCGCAGAAAAAGGGCTGACCTATAGCTTCCTTACACTTTTGATAGCTTTTGTCGTTGGAGCAAATAGATGCACTGATGTACCCATATATGCTCCGATATAAAGGAAACAGAAGGGCAAAGGACTTCATCCCTGATCTCAAGCAGCTCTTCAAATCATCTTTCGATGTGTTTCCCTCATGCAAAATTATTTAAGCTCATTCTCATGTTTCCACAAGTTCTTGTTTAGAAAGGAACTCAATCCTCCATTGAGGTTGCCAGGATGTTAAAGCTTATCCACTTTTCCTGGGTAGGATTAGCCTGAATGCTGGGGCCTTGGGGCCTTGGGGGCCTTGGGTGGCTTGCCGTGGCTTGCCGTGGCTTGTGCTGTGCCGTGGCATGTCGAGTGATGGAGATCTCGTCCCAACGGCTGATCTCGTGCCAGGCGTCGGCGGAAGTCGGGATTGGGCGATCTCAACGGAAGGGAAGAGACGCAAGCCTTGTTCTGTGTTTGCTTCTCTATCTTTGTGTATCTTTGCTTCTATTTTTGCTTCCTGCCATTCACCCAAGTTTCTCAATGAATCTACAGTACCTCATCTACCTCTGGTTGTCACTCCGCAATCCCAAGCGAACTTCCAAGCGACCATACGTTGGGGCTGCTGTGAAGCGTCTACATGTGTCCACATGTCAACGAGAACCAATATGCAGATACATGCAGCCCCAGCCCATGTCGTTGGTGGTCTTGGGCCAACGGGGGTGTTCTTCCGTTCCAACCATGACGGATCAGATCCTGCAAGTCGACTGGGGCGCCACCGAGCTGGAATCGACCGGGTCACCCAAAGGACCGGGTGGCACTGGGCGCCCGGTTGGACGGGTCCCCCTGGACGGGTCGGTGCGGTAGGAGGTATCGGTCCACCGAGAAGGTGGTGCACAGGGCTCAGGTTTGGAGTCGTTTGGACCCATATGGAGATGCTTTGCCATTCTGGAAGGGATGTTGAATGATGTTGATATAGAACCAGTCTACATTACAGGAATGACCGAGCAAACACAACTTCAAAAAGCACAATCAAACACAACACAAAACATCACAAAACCCCTTCCTTCTAGACTCACATGTGGAGAGAATTTCAGTGCTTAGCTCGTTGGCTGAGGCTCACTTGGTCGGCCACGAATCTATCTTGGAACATTCAATTAAGCATTTGGACCTTGTAGTTTCACCGGCCATGTTCAATCTGCTGTGGGATTTTGTAGCTGTTGATCCCCGGCAGTCTTTCTGTGGCTCATCTACAAATGCCTGATGGGCATCGCAGGTATGTGTTGAGATGGTTTTTTCTTATGTAAGTTGGTGAAGATGTGAAGCAACTGATGTTTGAGTTCTTTTGTCGGAAGATCTGGTCCCAAATCCAGATCTGTTCCGTGTGCAAGAGGTCTTCAATCTGCATGATGATCTACGACGAGCCTGAATGACTCCTGTTTTGGGAGGATCAGCTCTCCAACATGGGATCCTCTACCATTATCTCATTTGATTGGTTCATTGCGAAATTTAACCACCCACGTCAGTCACTACAGGTCAGCTTGACCTCATTTTACTGGTGTTGGTCATATTAATAAAGACAAGACTCAATGAGGTTTTCGGGACCAGGTTTGGACCTGGCTCAGACTGGACCTGTAGAGATTGGTTCATTGAGGAATCACCTCAATCAGTATAGTTCTGGGTGTCCCGTGCATCTCCATTTTGCGCCACAGCACGGAGGACCACCTGCTAGCAGATTGGTTGTGGACATGGATATTGGATGATGGCTCGGATTTGGACCTCCAAGACTGGAGTAATCATTGCAAGTCAAAACCCTGTACAGTAGGTCAATCTCCACGCAAGATTGAACAGGCGCCTACTTCATGTGCATGAGGCTAGAAGCTACCAGAAATCCCTCGAACCAACCTCGCAAACCAAAAGTGTTCATCTATGGTCATTGTATAGAGGACAATTCACAGTCCAACCATTTTATAGAGGTGTCAGAAAAGTCACCACAGGGATCACTGGTAGTTAGTAAATTCTAGTGAAGTTCGAAATTGGACGGACATGAACCTCCAGGCTTGGAACTTCCAGGCTGGAGGGGAACTTCCATCAGCCGACCCTGGACGTCTCGACCTGTCGATCCGCACGGAGCTCTTTGCTGGCGAACTGTAAGGCCTAGACAGGACGGCCGCGGCGGGCGCCCGCGTGACCGGTGGCGTTTATTGACGGAAGTTCGGTCGATGGTTTTCCGGTTTTTGGAAAGTTCGGTGCGGCAACGACAAACACAAATCAGGTGTGGTAGGGCTAAGAGGGCTATATAAGCTAGGGGCTGAGAGGGTGGCTGTGGATTGCTTTGGAGTTTGGGGACGAAAGGAAGTCCAACTGACATCCCACCATAATGAAACCAACTTGTATTCTTAGGGGAGATTAGGGGAGCGAAGGGTGTTGTCATGGAACAACAAACAAAACTTCACCTGGCCTTGCAAAGAATGCTGGCTGTCCAAACTCTTTTGCATCAGATTGTTAATATTAGAAAAACATATTTATCAAAGCAACATGTGCTTGCGCAATGGCACAGACTGCTCCTCACAACATTACACAGTCGTTTTCAATACAGTATACAATCGATTGCTGTTTGGCTTTGCTCCTGCCAATCATGTGTTTATTTTTTTGGTGATCTTTTGTTGTTCCCTTCATTTAATCTTGTTGTCCCGTTGCTGCGGTGTTGCTGGCCCCCATTTTCATCTTCCAAAAATGCCTTTTGTGAGAACTAGTAACGCGAATGGTCAGCAAAGTATGTACCCCAATTTAATGAACCAACAACTCGTACCTTTCTCGTACCTTTTGGATTCTTGGTTTCACAACTTTCTACCCCAATCAACCATGTACCTGCCCAGTATCATCTTGATCATTCTGGTGCAGTGTTCCTTTCCATTCGTGCCTTTCCAGTCGTACCGGCTCTGCTCTCTTGTTTTTATCTTATCTATGTTTGTCCTTCTTATAAGTCATTCAGAACTAGAAACCAGGACCTAAATAGCTCGAAATCTAGCTTCGTTTGTCCTTCTTAGTTCTAGTCTAGGACCTTTCAATACTATAAATAAATATACAAATAACTTTCTGCTCAACCAGTTTATCACGTATCACGTTCCTTTCTTTTCAGTGCTTTCACCATACCAGTGAAAAAAGGAAAGAACAGCATGAACAAACTCTTCCCCATCAGCCAAACATCAGGCACAACAGTGTTGAACAAGACCCGAAAAAAGAAGATGAACAACACATAAAGCCGCATAAGCATATATAAGCATACCATACCGCCGCTGGAAACCGATTTCCGCAACCCTCCGCAACTCCAACGAACACGCTCCGAACCGGGCGCCCCGGTGGGCGCCGGGCCTTGCCGTTCTGCCACACCGCTTTCAGCACCAAGTCTCGGTCCGCCTAGTCTCGGACGGGCTTCTCACAACGCGGCGGTGGCAGCTTGCCCGGTGGAGCCCTGGTAGGTTCACCTCCTCATGAAGTAGAACACTAAGGTAGAAGCATAATTATTCTGTTCGCTTTTTGATCAAACAAGGTCCTCTGGTCGACCACATTCTTTGCCAGCTGTTTTTGGACACGGCACTCCTGGTCGGCCTCATCAACATACTTGAAACTCAGAGGTAGGTAGGGAGACGTGAATACATGAAAACATAATTGCAAAAATATTTAGGTGGTATCTATAGGGTGCTACATCTGAAATAACATGAACTGGCCGCCATGAGGGATGTCGAAAAACTACACGTGCATACATGATGCAGGTAATTACAATGTCTTGCCAAGCTGTGAGTCGTAGTAGCAGAAGGACACCCAAAGAGGGACCCGACCAAGTGAATATGCATGGTGTCTACTAGGTAAATACTTTGAAGGGTACTGGCCGGGCTGCCCCCACAAGTCTGTCAGGGTTGCTTAGAGTCTTAGAGGAAACAACTACGAAAAAGGTGTCCACTGGTCCTCAACCAAGCCAAAACCAATTCAGGACTTCCCCAGGCGAGGGACATGCTCCTGTGTGTCTTCTACAAAGAAAACGTCTGTGTATGTAAAAAGAAAAGCAAAAGAGAGGGCATCGATTTCTGTTGAGAAATTCAGCCATCTATGAATGCACCCGCGTGTGGTGAATCGAGGAGCTTCCATCTTTGGTCATCGACTCATCTGCTCGCATGTTCCGGCAACGGCCCACAATCTGGGCAGGGGAATGACGCAACATCCCCCAATAGACTTCATATCATATATTCATAGATGTTCCACTGATGCTCGAGCTCCAAACAATGGTGTTGAACTGACACTCCAAAGCTTATCTTCCAATGAGGGTGACATCTTGCATCTAACCCCAATGGAAACGCAGCATCCAAACAATGTTGTTGACCTAATGCTCTTCCAGTTATATTGCCATCTTGCATCTAACCCCAAAGGAAACGCAACATCCAGACGACTTTCTACAAGACCAAACGACTTAACACAAGTGCTTGTGCAGTAACCCACATTTGCACCACCCTCTTCTAACGCAGCAAAAAGCCACAGCCACACAAGCAATACTTTGCGCTGGTTGGCCCTCGCCATGTTCCTTCCTCAAAACCAGCGCACCTGCATCTCTGGCGTCAAGTGCTTCAATGCCAAACCATTCGCTTCCACCGCAGCCGCCGAGAGCCTGAAGGCGGCACCGGCGAGGAAAGTCGGGCAACACAAGTTCAGCAGTAGTCTCAGTAGGGGGCGCTCCATTTAATAAAAGGCCATCACTGGTTAATTATGATTGTGTCCCTCCACACACAGGAATGTCAATGTCAATAATATTAAATATGTCAATCATGTATTCAAATCTTTTTCACCCCAGGACGATGGAAGTGATGACTCCTGCCATCGAAATCGGCTACGCCATTTCAGCGATCATGCGACGATCCGATGGGCATCCGCCCCAAATGGTGTGGCCATGGCTATGCTCCAATTGAGCACGTATCTCCAAAAGGAAGATCTTTTCCAGGGGACGAGGACGTTCGAGTCCGAGAATGGATCGGTGGCCGACCATCTCGAAACAAGTGATCACCTTTTACAATCTTTTATATTTACCGATGTCTATCGGTCTTTACTGGTGTACTGGGACATCGGCCTGGTCACCACACCCAGTCACCGGTGTCACACCCGTCATCCCGCGGTGCAGGACGTCCAAACTCAGGTCCAGATTGCCGGCCACTACCCCCGAAACTTGAATCGGCCTGCCGGGCTGAAAGAAAATCAAGAAACCCCTCTTCATGTGGGTGTGCAAGTGAATAGGGAGACGCCCCCCTTGAACTCCACCAAGAAGATACCAAACTCGACGAACGAACATCATCGAACACCGAAGAGCTTAATGATTTCACAACCCGAACAGCTGGCGCATGAACACCTGGTGGCACCGCTGGGGACCGGATTTTTGGCTGCACGCCACGGTGTTACGCGCGTCAAAGGCGCCTGGGAAAGCCTTTGCCAAGGTTCTCCCCTAAGGGCCACGGCTGGTCCATGGCTCCCTCCGAAACAAAGAATTTGCAGAATTTGCGGTCTCCCGGAGTTGCAATGCATATTCATGATGGATTAGGATAGAGTTGGGCGGAAGCCGTGTCGCGAAAGAATGGTCGCCTCTTCACCAAAAGTAGCAGTCGTGCTGCGTGCTTGGCATCTTTCATTCTCTTCCGTCCCTTTAAATCGTGGTAGATTTTTTTGTGGCATCATCGGAGAAACCAATTGAGGAACTCCCCTGTTCTTTGTGCTTTCTTCTGTCCGACTCTTTGTGGAGCTCCTTCTTCAAACGCGCTTCGTCTCCATGGTCCTGGTCCGCCGTCTCCGTTTTTGATGCTTCACCAATCCGGGCAAACACGAGGATGCGTGAGGATGCGTGACTTGTGGTAGGTAGACAATAGGTAGACCCTCCAAGCAATGGGTAGACCGGTCTATGTCCTTTCTTCCAGGGGTGGTGGTTGCCTGGGAGGTCTCCCTATTACATTTAAATACACACTCACATGGCGAAAGAGGTAGAGAAAGCCGAGTCATCGCGGCGCAAGGGGGCGGGGCGCTTCCGCCATGCGTGCGACTCCGCGCCCGTGCGGGACACCGCGCCCGTGCGGTTTCGCACACGTTCGTTGGATCGCCACAAGCCGTCCTGCTCCAGGAGACGAACCATGACAGGAGTGCTATAGGTGCATGGATCATACTTCATGCAGACTCACGCAGCATGTCTCATGCAGCACTATAGTTACTAGTGGTTCTTATAATATGATACGATTACTCCCGGGAGGGCGATGAACTGGTGAAAGCTGCTCCTTCTTTTTTGCTGCAGAGGTCCATGTTCAGTTGCAGGTCAAACTCTACAAATGCTTCTCCCACAACCGTTCATGAGCATCAAATTTGCTTCACTTCAGGCGCCGGATGAGCTGGCGAATACCGCAATCAACACCAAGAAGTGTGCTTCAAGTCCAATCAACACATGGGCCAGAAGTGAGTCTATACACAGTCCAAATTCAAACATTCACTGGCATGGTCCAGAATTTCATGGAGTGATAGTCCTCTCCTCACAGTCAGACTTGGCCACATTCCAGACCACGATTGAATTGGTCCAGCCAGCGTCCTCTCGGTTCTCCCTTCGGCCCACAACGGGGAAGTGGGTAGAAGTCGAAACCGAAGACCGAACTGAAAACTTGGTTCCAGGGAGTGTACCGTCCTGAAGACTAACATAGACCCTGACAATGGGCCCCTGGATTGTCTTCCTCTACCAAACAGTGAGTGGTTTCAGGGTTCATGTTAATCTTCACGGGTAGTTATTCTGCTCTGGATATGAGAGCCTCACTGGGAAAGGAGAACAGCGGCTGGGTCGGACCTTGCAAGCGAAAACACTGAATTAGGACCCATGATGCACAGGGAGTTCTCGTGTCTCTTCAACATCATTTCAGGACTGACAAAAAAACATCAACAAACATGCAACACATTGTCTGTTCGTTGTTCATTCCTTTGCTTTTCCCTTCTTCTAGTCCAAAGTTCTAGAAAGAGGTTGCGCTGCCTTAGGGGATCTTACTCAGCTTTTTCATGGATGTGCCAGTCTGGCTCGTACAATGTCACCCGTTGCATCAAGCTGATCATCCAGTCCTTGCAACGGGTTTACCCCAATTTTCGCTGACAAAGATAGTGTTTGGAAGATCCATGACAAGCCCGGTGCGGCAGAAGTTGGACAACCCAGCGCAATCTTCACAACGGTGATTTACTGTAACTGTTGAAATCGAATCTGTAAATCACGCTGGCAGCAATTTGTACTCTTTCAGAAGCTTTTTCACCAAGGTTTCCTCGAGCGGCCGGCAACCCTGTCTTCCAAGGGTGACCCCCAACTTGTGCATTCCATCTTGTATGGGGAACTTCAAAGCAAGGCGTACCTTACAGTGCAAGCTGGATCATCATGATCATCATTAAACAAACTACGTAATCATAACAAGTCATGAGCAGGACATGCTGGAGGGAAACAATGGAATGCCCAGGAGATATCTGTGTGGCATGGTCCGTCATTTTCCGACCCTGCAGCAAACCCCATTCTCACTTGATCATGACTCCTACCGAAGCAAAATCGCATAAACTAACCACATGTTGACGTCAAAGCCCACATGATACTCGCGAGATTCACCGTGGCAGCTTAGGGCCTAGGGGATTGACCACCCCAACACTCAATGTATTGAACATACATACATGATCTGAATATATATATATATATATATAAGTGACCCCTGAAACCACCCGAATGTAGGTCAATTACGCCAGTCCCATGCAAATCATGGATATTCAAGGAGTGTCAGGGCCATGACACGCAGTTGCACAACGCTCCCCCAAGCTGTGAGAATCCGCAGGCCCACAAAAAAAGATGTGCTTAGCGTACACGGCACATGGGCAAATCCAACAAAGAAGACCCTCTTCATAGCAGAACGCGCCCCAAAAAGATCCAAAAAACACAGCTTGCATATCCTCAAGCTCCCCTATAGACTATCCACAGCTTCAGTTCTAGCTCCAAGAGCTGTTTGCCCACCAGCTGCTATGGGTTCTTTCTCATCGCTCTCCACATATGCACCACCTCTGGCACCAGGGCCGCGGGTTCCACCCCGCGCGTGCCTTCAGGCCCACACGGCTGGCCAGCTCTCGCACGCTTTGCAGGTCACCCTGAACAGCAACCGCCGGGGTTCGGTTGGTCACCGAGCTCGGCTCCGGGGCGCCAGCTGGGCGAGTGCTTTCAGCTAAGTGAGGCGAGCCCGTTGGGTATCAGAAGGATGGTGGAAACGAAAGAAAAGGAGGTCAACGTCTTTTAAATTGAAGAGGCACTCTCTCTAATGGATTTTATACATCATATTTGCGCTGTGGTCAACGACATGGATCACCTATCGACGATCGACATCGCATATGACATGTTGTGCCGAAACGCTGTTGGCAACAGCCCCTGGGTTTCTCAAAACATCTCAAAATTGAAGGATTTGATACTTCAGATCACAAACATTTCCAGACCCCTCCATCCCTACTTCGAAAACATGAGCATCTAGGTAGAAGGTGGATCACCACTTGGAAACCGTGAATGTTCACCAACAAGCCATGGCATTCTTTAGTCTCAGAATGCTTCAATCAACCCTAGGACTCCCGGCCTACCTCCGTTTACCTCCGGTGGTTGAGGTGGATGCCAGAGGGGTCCAGGTAGCTTGATTGCTTCAGCTGCTCTGCTTCGACCATCCAGGACCTAAAACACACCTCCCCGCCCAACGTCGGATCCACTGTGCTCCCGGTCTCATCCTCAAGCACCCAAATCATCCCAACATCGCTGGTTGGATGAATCTGAGCACCTCTTATATAGTACATCTGATGATCTGGTCCTTAAAAAACTCTTGAACAGCCTCATGAAGAAAAAGCAACCACTGTTGACTCTTGACCACGATCTTGCTTATGGGGGACCCATCTCCAGGCTCCCAGGATCCGTGGGGTCGCGGGCCCCGCGCGCCTGGCGCTGGCGGAAGTCCATGATCTGCTCGGCGGATCGGTCGCCCAAGCAGCGGATGCGGCGCACCACCTGGCGGATGCGGCGCGGCGGGAACGGCACAGGGTGGGACGTTGGGTGGGGGAGATGGTCGTGGACGCGGAAGCACATCAATTCATGGGACTGGCACCAATTTGGTGTTGGAATGGTGGCGTGCAGGTTTTGCGTTAGATAGGCACTTAAATTTGGTCCAGGCATTACCTGAAAGAAAAAACACAACACCATTTATCCAGGACCTCCTGCTGCTTATTTGTGGACCTCCCAAAAAAAACATTGTCGACTCCAAAACATACCCCCCCCCCTCCAACGCGGGACTTGTTGCTCTTCAAAATGATTCTAACATATTCTAACCATCCACCGCCCAAGAAGAACCATCGCTGGCAGCACACCCGCAGCTTCAGTGGGCGAACTCGTGGTGAGCGAGAGAGGCTCCTTCTCCCACCTCCCCACTCCCCGCGACCCCACACTCTCCGCGATCGGGCTCCGCTCCGAGCCTCGAAGTCCTGGTGATTCAAGAGCCGCAGCAGGGCTCGCTCAGACCTGGCCGGTACCGCCCAGGTCAACCGCCCGCGGTCCGCGGTGGGGTTGCCCAAAGACAGGGCGGTTCAGGATTGAAGGATTGATATGGGGAACCTTGATAGTCCAAAACAAATCGACTTCAGACTTCAGGCATGTATAGTGGGATCCAATAGAATATGCTGTATGTACAATAACAATATATTTTATAATGTTATAGAACATGTGCAATAGACTCTTCTTGACGATCGGTCTGAGTTTCTTTGCCACAGTCAAAAATTAACAAACACCTGGCATCTTTCTACCTGAACCCCCCTCATGAGAAACGGGCGCCCAACTTTTGAGACCAACAATTGCACCATGTTGGGCCCAGTTCGACGAAGCCAATGGTTCCATGGCGCTCTTTGAACAGGGTGGGTTGGGAGGATGGCTTTCCAACTCCTCAAAGTTGGAAAGATACGAATCTGTGGATGTCAGTCTCGGAGCAGGACAGGCAAACTATGATGTATGAGCCTGTTTTTCTCCCACACCAAACGCCCCAAGATTGCCATATCTGCACAATTTGATCGATTCAACTTAACCCCCGGCATCCAATGATATCCAGGTATCCAATCAAGAACGCCCAAGAACGAACGCCTGTATGATCTCTCACGCCAATAATTGGAGTGAAACCGACGCCCGCCGATTGGCCGATCGGAGCACTGGAGCGTATCGCTAGGCCCTAGGCCTTCGATTGAAACGGTATCGCTAGTGTCGCGTCGCTCGTCTCAAGTGATAACATGTATCAAGAATGCAGTATTAACTGTATCAAGTGATAACAGGGGAACATGATCCTTGTGGTTTCTTGTGTCCAAACTCATTCGCTCAGCTGAATACAAGGAGTCACTTGGAGCAAAGAAAACTCTATAATTATTTGGTGGAGGTCGCTATATCTGGAGCCCATCGCAAAAAACCAAA